AAATAAAATGTAAAAATCAGTAAACTTTTCTTTTCATTGTCCCTAATTCTCTTCCGTATTCCAGGCTTCAAACATAAAGATTAAAATTGTAATTCTTTGTGAAGAGTGAACAACAATTGGACACAATCATAAAGATGAACAAAATTTATGTGATATTTAACACTTTTAACAAATAAGAAAATGAAAAAATGGGTGTACAGAAGGATTCAGCCCCCTTGAGTTATTACTTTGTAGTGCCACTTTTTGCTGCAATTACAGCTACAAGTTGCTTGGAGTAAGTCTATTATTTTTGCACTGATGTCAAGATACTGACATTTTTGTCCATTCTTCCTGCAAACAGCTTGAGCTCAGTGAGGTTGGATGGAGAGTGTTTTTTTTTTTAGGAGTTTTCAGTTCTTTCCACAGATTCTCATTGGACTCAGGTCTGGACTTTGATTTGGCCATTTTTACACCTGGATATGTTTATTTGTGAACCTTTTATGTTTTGGATCATCGTCTTGTTGGAAGATAAATTTCTGTCCCAGTCTCAGATCTTTTGCAGACTCCAACAGGTTTTCTTCCAGAATGATCCTGTGTTTGGCTCCATCCATCTTACCCTCAATTGTCCCTGTCCCTGCTACAGAAAAAAAAAGGCCAAAACCATAATGCTGCCACCACCATGTTTGACAGTGGGGATGGTGTGTCCAAGGTGACAAGCTGTGTTGCTTTTGCAGCAAACATAACATTTTACATTGTTGCCAAAAGAAGTCTATTTTGGTTTAATCTGACCAGAGCACCTTCTTCCACATGTTTGCTGTGTCTCCCAGGTAGCTTCTTGCAAACTTCAAACAATACTTTTTATTGATATCTTTAAGAAATGTGTGGTGGATAGGCATAGTTTTGATCATGTGGTGTCAGCAGTGATTTGTAAGATAACCTGTTTTGCTCACCTGGGGAGTTTCAGTGAGTGGTTGATGGGGGATGTCTACTTTTTGATGACCGCTTTAAGTTTTAGATGTTGTTTTGTTCTCCTTTGAGCTTGATCACGGCACGAACCTGTGGATTCGTTGTCTTTTTCTGTATGCTGCATTGCATGCTTTGAAGATCAACAAAACAAAAGGATATGAACTACATTTTGGACTGAACTTTTGAATTGCGAGGAATAACAAGGATTCCCCTAATCAGCCGCTCGGGCGACTCAGTAGTTTTGACTGTCGCCAATAAAATGCCTTTCTTCCATGAAGGCTAGATTTGTGTAGTATAAGACTGATTGTTGTCCGATGGACAGTGTCTCCCACCTCAGCTGCCAATCTCTGCAGTTCACCCAGTGATCATGGGTCTCTTGGCTGCATCTCTGATCAGTCTTCTACTTGGTTGAGCTAAAACTTTAGAGTGATTTAGAGGGGTCTTTGTGGATTTGCAGTGGGCTTTACTCCTTCCATTTCAATATCATCACTTGCACAGTGGTCCTTGAGATGTTTAAAGCTTTGTAAATCTTTTTATACCCAAATCCAGCTTTAAACTTCTCCACAACAGTATCTATGCCTGGTGTGTTCCTTGTTATTCATGATGCTCGCTGTACCTTAAAGAGAACTCTCAGACTTTCACAGAGCAGGTGCATTTATACGGAGACTTTATTACAGTCATTTAGGTCAACACTGGATCCTTCAGAGATTCTCACTGAACTTCTGGAGAGAATTTGCTGCACTGAAAATAAAACGTGGCTGATTCATTTTGCATGCCCCACTCTTCTGTTATTTGTTTAAAAAAAAGTTTAAAATATTCAATAAATTGTAGAAATACTACCAACACTGATTTTAGTACAATTTACATTTTCACATTGCGGATATTTTATTGGTAGCTTTACGTAATTTAAACTCAGAGTCCGATGACATGCATGCTGCTTATTCCCTGTAACTGTCAAATTGGATATCTGTTAAAAACTTTGATTCTAAATGTATATCAACTCAAGTTAGCCATTTTAGTAAAAAAGTTTATTGACTTTTTTTAAACATTTTATTTGCTTTTTGTTTTGTTGTTTTTGTTTGGTTATTGTGTGTGGTATACAAATATATCCATGGTCAATATAAACAGGTTAAGTGACTTTCCAAGTATCATTTACATAAAGTTTGATATTCCCTCACCTCATTGGTCAACTAACCCTAAAGGGATAGCTGTGAAGCACCAATTATTTACTGACCTGGTGTGCAAATGAGGCCTGAAAACCTTAATCTGGGTAATGAAATCATGCCTTTCATGATTGGTCTCCTCGGCTGTCGGCCATATTGCCAATAAAAACAAACTCTCTACAGTCAGCATGAAAATATACCAACACATTTAAAGTAAACTGATTCCAGACAAAAACAACCTCTCAAACAAAATTCCTTTTATCTGCTGTTTTACTGTTTGATACTTACAATGGTTAGGGCTTAGCTTCAAGAACAACTAATGGTACTTTTAAAACAGGCTATTTAATAGGACCTTCAGGGGATTGGCACACTACACTGGATATGCGAACATGAAAAGTAAAACCTTAATGGAAGAAAAATCATACGAAAATATTTTCTGTGACCTTCAAAAATGTAAAATTCTAAAACTTATAGTGAGGTCTGATGAAAATGGATTTGAAGCAGGGTATATGGGCTTCTTCTCTTTGAAGGAAATAGTTTCATTAGATTTTCATTTAACAAAACAATCCATTCAAAAGAGTGTGGCTGGTTAAGTGATCCTGTGCAGCCACAGGTCCTTTCAGCTCTCTTCTGCATGTCCTTACTTCTCTTTCACAAAACCAAGATAAGGGTTTTAAGCTGGGATGATCCAGATATTTTGGACCAGTTAAGTACACAACTTACCAATAGGCTTGTCATATTCTTTTATCAGCCTATATTATAAAACAATAATAAGTATTGTTATTTAGTACTTTATATACATTATTATGGTAGCCTTTACCCTTATAAACTTTGACAGAAAGGCCTTTAAAAATATATTTTTTATGTGTTGTCTAGATTAAGGAAATATCTAAT